GGGGGGGGGGGGGTGGTGGTAAAGCAATAGTCTGTTGATTTACGTAAAGCAGTAGTATTACTTGCAGTAGCGGCTTCAGTAAATGAAGCACTGATCACGTCGTCATACATACTCAAACAGACGCCGACTAACGGACACGGCGCATCCAAATGCGGACGACATGGTACATGCACGGAACTGCACGACAACAACCGCAGGAGAGGGTCCAGCCCCCCCCCTCCTATGTGACCCCGGTTGGGTCGTCTAGCTAGTAGAAGTAGAGGATAGGGGCCAGAGGGGCAGGCGACAGAGTCCGATGATGGGAGGAAAAAAAAAAAAACGGAATGTAGCTATGCATATATATGTATTTTCCTCTCGAAATTCATGCGCATGGGATGCATCTCTCGCGCACAACACAGCAGCGGATGTTCTACTTTTGTAGACTGGGTAGTCGGGAAGGCAAGTGTTCCGCTTCACTTGTGTGAGGCTGTGCGGAGGGATTTGTTGACTTGTTCCCCACCACGCCAGCTGCTGCTGCGGGGTGTGTGCTGTGTACGGCGTGGTGTACGCTGTGTGTTTATGACCAGCATGCTCTACCGTGGCGCTTGCGCTTCGATTGGAGTCTTGTACGAGATACAGCTGGTGGGGTGCTTAACTTGTCAACCACACCCACCGCTGTTACGCGTTGTTCACCCCACCGACCGTGACACCACCAAACCTTCATCGTTCGGCCTCACCATGGGTCCCAAGATAGTCCCGCAACGCACCAATACCTTCGTACATGACTTCTGTCAAATGGAGTGTTGTGGGGGTAGATCCAGCCGTGGGTCCCCCGTGGTATTGAACGAAGCCTTCTGCAAGAAAATAGCAGGCAGTGTTCGCTACCCACGTCAGGTGTTTGGCGCTATGCCGCTGGATTTCCTGACCTGTTCGCCACCCCGAGTGCTGCCTGATGCTGTGCGCTGTGCATGCATCGACCACAAACTCCTGCAGGTACTTGTGTGTCGATCGGAGCCTTGTAGAGGGAGATCTAACTGGTGGGGTCCATAACGTTATCTACCCCACCAGTGAGGTAGCGGCGCATGTTCCCCGCCAACCGTGGCACCACCAAAACTGTGCCGTTTTGGCCTCACGATGGGTCCAATGATAGCCCTGCAACGTCGCAACACGTTCGCTGAAGTCCTGTGCCGATTGGAGTCTTGTAGAGCGAGCTACAGGTGGTGGGGTGTAACGTTAACCGCCCCACCGGTGGGGTGGTTAAGAAATTGCCCTACCGATGGGGTGTTTAGCCGTGCCGAAAGATTATTGCATGATGATTAGTCTAGACTAAATAGTCTGCGCACGAAATAAAATGGTCGAGAGGTGGTCCCGAACTACTAACTACAGTACAACATGTAGTAAATGACTGACAGCATCGACCATAGCCGCGCAGCACACGTCGGCCGTTCTCGCGGACCTGTCACGCCTTATGCCCCGCCCGCCCACTGGGGGCGCGGGGGCCGATGCTTCACCCTCCTGTGCCTTCTTGCTCTTCGCGTACGTCTTCACGTCTTCACGTCTTGCATTGCGTCTCCATACACCGCCCCTTCTTGCTACTTCTAACGTCTCGTCTTCCTTCTTCTTATTCCTAATTTCCCCCCAAGCCCTCACTGTCATCCATCCCGGTGTGGCCGCCCGCCTCATTGGGGGGCGGGGGGCCAATCCTTGACCCTGGTAGTAGATACTGTGGCGAACTTCCACTCATCACGAAACTAACACAAGCAGAGTTTGTTCCCGGATATGGAATAGATCTATCGCTTGTTGTAGATCGCAAGAGCGTGGACTGGAATACGCAGTATAGTCTTCGCGTGCCCCCCCAAATATCTGGACACTAGCGGCGAGCACACGTGCACCGATGCCGTAGGTCGTAGCGCTTGTGAGCGCGAGAGACGCCTTCGGAGTACGTGGGCACGCTGAAGGGTTGAGTCACTGGCCAACATAGAACAGGTAGTCACAGGAAGTAGTGTCTTTTTCCCGCCCACCCACCCCTTTTCCTTTCGAAGACGAGGGGTACGAAGTCCTCATTTCCTTTGGCGAGGTTTCTAGAGTCATCTTTGGGTGTAGGGTGTAGTTGAATGGCCGAGCACCATTAGGGGACTCGGTCACTCCAGACCCCTACGTGCAGTAGGAGTGGCGGGTTTGCCCCCGGCTGGATGTAGCTGACTTGGTGTGGAGAGAGACAGTTTTTGAGGGGGAATCAGGCGCGAGGATTGTGTGTTTTTTCGGCGCCGATTCTTACCCCTCTCTCGCTATCCTTGGTGATCGACATAGAAACCTGATAATGATCAAGCAAAACACAATTTACTGTTGTATGTATAATAACAGGTGATGGCACGTGCAGCGATGGCATCGAGGGCATCGACGGCAACGGCGTCGTCTGCTGCCCGCGCGGCTGTGGCCAGTGCGGAGGGACGGGATGCGCCGCTGCTGGCGCCGCGAACGGTCTTGGCTCAAGTGCTTGCTGCCAAGGATCGATCAAGAGTAGCGGCAACTACTGTGACGACACCGGGGAAGCCCCGTGCATCTACGGCAGTGCCCCCGACGTCTAACCAAAACTCGTTGAATTGGTCCTTGTCAAAGCAAACAGTACGTGCAGGAACGACCTCGAGGGCATCGACCACAAGGGCGAGGTATGTTGTCCGCTCGGGTGTGGCCAGTGCGGAGGTTCGGGATGCAGCATTGCTGGCGCTACGAACGGTCTTGGTGAAGAGTCGTGCTGCCTATCAAGGTGTGAATGATAGCTGCGACGACAATGACAAGGCCCCATGCATCATTTAAGGCGGCGGCGACGACGACCAAGGCACTGCTGCTTCAGGGGGGGGGGCATGACTAGGAGAATTGTTAGTCGAGTGCCACCGCCACCCTTCCGGGACGGGTGTTTGGACAAAGTTTGTCAGTGAACACCATGCGGTGGATTTCTGTACGCAACGGGATCGTGCTGGTGGGCGATGCACAAAAGTGAATTCCCGTCGAATGTGGGGGGGAGGATTGCCCCGTATTTTATGTAATATTTTGTGTTGTGTCACGTGTTGTCTCACAGAATCATCGCTGGATATATTGCTGACTTTGAAGGAAGTGTTCTGAGGTATTCATGCGGTTTTACTGCACACCACTCGTGAAAATGTGTTGTTGCATACTTGCTTTTAGGAGATTGCAGACGTATATGAATGTCATGGCCTGCTTAGAGGCCGCGTTATAAGAAGCGTGTGTACGCCTCCTCAGCAGGAATGAAACTCCGGACAAGTGTTAGGCTCGGCCCGTTGACCTCGAGGAGTGCAGTGCCTGGCGTGACGGGTGCCTGCACAAACATTGTGAAGAGCGTTTAATCGTGCAGGTGTGGGTGGGGGCGTACTCATGTTTCACGTGTTGTCTTGCGGGTGTA